TCGGCCAAAGAGCTGGGATAACAGGGCATGAACCACCAAGCCCAGCCTGAATTTTTTTTTTTTTGAGATGGGGCCTTGTGTTCTGTTGCCCAGGCGGAGTGGAGTGATCTTGGCTCACCACAACCTCCGCGCTCCCTGGTTCGCAGTGATCTTCTGCCTCCCAGCTTCCTGAGTAGCTGGGACTACAGTGCATGCCACCATGCCTGGCTAAATTTTTTTGTATTTTTAGTAGAGACAGGGTTCACTATGTTGGCCAGGCTGAATCTCGAACCCTGACGGCTTCATGATCTGCCCGCCTCAGCCTCCCAAAAGTGCTGGGGATTACAGACAATGAGCCACCACAACCTGGCTAGTCTGATTTTTTATTAAGATTTGCTTACTGAGAACCAGGGCTCCAATTACCCATTCACCATTCTTAAATTTGTTCATTCATTCAGCAAATATTCCCAAACATGCCTTAAGGGCTTTTCTCAGTGAAGGAGACAAGAAAATGTAAACAAGTGGCTCTCGTGGAGGCAGCTAGCGTGAGGCTAGGGAGCACTGAGCCGCGCCTCATGCCCTGCGCTACCCAGACTAGTGAACAATACAGTCAGGATGGCTAAAGGTGACCCCAAGAAACCAAAGGGCAAGGTGTCTACTTATGCTTTCTCTGTGCAGACATGCTGCAGCGGGATAATGAAGGAATCAGAGAGACCGAGGGGTGGAGGAGGAATTATTTATTATTTAGGTGCACCAGCCCAGTCGGATTAACATCCACAGGACTGAGCCCAAACAAAGAGTCAAGCTATCTTTTAAGCATTTTGTGGGGTGGAGGGAGATCTGTGCAGGGTAAAGCATATTACAGAAGCAAGAAATAAAGACAGTTATTTAATTAAGACATGCATTACATCATTTCTTACTTTTCGAGGAACAACATATTTTACGACTTGCGATTATCTGCCTAGTGACCTTGCAGCTGCACAGCTAGAGAAACAGTCTTCACAATTCCTGGGAAAGGGAGAGATAAGGCTCACTAGCCACAGAAAAACAGGCAGTTAATTTTTAAAGGACTTCAGCTTTTTTTCTTTCTCAGGGAGGATTGGGTTTTCTTACATACAACTGAGTTTTTGCTCACATATTCTTTAATTTCTTTCCTTTTTTTTTTGAGACGGAGTTTCCCTCTTGTTGCCTAGGCTGGAGTGCAATGGCACGATCTCAGCTCACAGCAACCTCCGCCTCCCGGGTTCAAGCCATTCTCCTGCCTCAGCCTCTGGAGTAGTTGGGATTACAGGCATGTGCCACCACGCCCAGCTAATTTTTTGTATTTTTAGTAGAGACAGGGTTTCTCCATGTTGTTCAGGCTGGTCTCGAACCCTGGACCTCAGGTGATCCGCCCACCTCGGCTTCCCAAAGTGCTGGGATTACAGGCATGAGCCACCACGCCCAGCCTCTTTAATTTCTGTTCCAATACAAAGAAGAACATAAGAAGAAAAACCCGGAGGTCCCTGTCAATTTTGCAGAATTTTCCAAGAAGTACTCTGGGAGGTGGAAGACAATATCCAGGAAAGAGAAATTTAAATTTGACGAAATGGCAAAGGCAGATAAAGTGCTCTATGATCGGGAAATGAAGGATCATGGACCAGCCAAGGGAGGCAAGAGGAAGAAGGACCCTAATGCCCCCAAAAGGCCACCGTCTGGATTCTTCCTGTTCTCTTCAGAATTCTGCCCCAGGATCAAATCCACAAACCCCGGCATCTCTATTGGAGACGTGGCAAAAAAGCTGGGTGAAATGTGGAAGAACTTAAATGACAGTGAAAAGCAGCCTGACATCACTAAGGCGGCAAAGCTGAAGGAGAAGTATGAGAAGGATGTTGCTGACTGTAAGTTGAAAGGAAAGTTTGATGGCACAAAGGGTTCAGCTAAAGTTGTGCGGAAAAAGGTGGAAGAGGAAGATGAAGACGAGGAGGAAGAAGAGAAGGAGGAGGATGAGGATGAACAAACAAACTGTTTATCTGTCTCCTTGTGAATACTTAGAGTAGGGGAGCGCCGTACTCAACATCTCTCTTATTTGAGAAGTATCTGTTGCCCTCATTAGGTTTAATTACAAAATTTGATCACGATCGTATTGTAGTTCCTCAAAGTGCTTTAGAAATTGTCAGTGGTGGCCGGGCGCGGTGGCTCAAGCCTGTAATCCCAGCACTTTGGGAGGCCGAGGCGGGTGGATCACGAGGTCAGGAGATCGAGACCATCCTGGCTAACATGGTGAAACCCCGTCTCTACTAAAAATACAAAAAACTAGCCGGGCGTGGTGGCGGGCGCCTGTAGTCCCAGCTACTCGGAGGCTGAGGCAGGAGAATGGCGTGAACCTGGGAGGCGGAGCTTGCAGTGAGCCGAGATGGCGCCACTGCACTCCAGCCTGGGTGACACAGCGCGAGACTCCGTCTCAAAAAAAAAAAAAAAAAAAAAAGAAATTGTCAGTGGTTTACATGAAGTGGCCATGGGTGTCTGGAGCACCCTGAAACTGCATCAAAGGTGTACATATTTCCAAACATTTTTAAAATGAAAAGGCACTCTTGTGTTCTCCCCACTCTGTGCACTTTGCTGTGGGTGTGACAAGGCATTTAAAGAGGGTTCTGGCATTTTCTTTTTATTTGTAAGGTGGTGTTAACTATATGGTTATTGGCTAGAAATCCTGAGTTAACAACTGTATATCTCTATAGTTTGTAAAAAGAACAGAACAACTGAGATAAAGTCTGGATGCTCCTTGCTTGGCGTTGAGCTGTGGGGAAGATGCTTTTTGGAGGGGCTGTAGTTCAGGGTGTGTGCTCTGTGAGGCTGGACCTGTTGACTATGCAGTGGGCATCCATTTCGCTTCAGGTTGTCTTGTTTCTGTGACATGGCATTCTGCTGCCATCTTAGCTGTGGACAAAGCGGGGTCAGCTGGCATGATATATATATATATATTTTTTTTTTTTTTAGTTAAGTGCGGTAGTTTTTAAACAAACTGTAGAACTCTTCATTGTCAGCAAAGTGAAGAGCCACTGCATCAGTGAAAGTTCAAGAACCTCCTTTACTTAAACATGATTTGCAACATTCTGGTTTTTTTTCGTATGTTTAGAACACTGAAATGGTTTTGAAGTTAAATGAACAGTATTACATTTAAAAAAAATTAGCCAGGCATGGTGGCGGGTGCCTGTAATCCCAGCTACTCAGGAGGCTGAGGTGGGAGGATTGCTTGAGCCCAGGAAATCGAGGCTGTAGTGAGCCAAGATCATGCCAACTGTACTCCAGCCTAGTTGATAGAATGAGACACTGTCTCAAAAACAAGCAAGCAAACAAACAAAAAACTCTGAAAGAAGCACTAGCAAAGAATTATGGGAGCATCCAAAAGGAATAATAATAACTCTTTTTTTTTTTTTTTTTGAGACAGAATTTCGCCCTTGTTGCCCAGGCTGGAGTTGCAATGGCGCGGTCTCAGCTCACCGCAACCTCTGCCTCCCGAGTTCAAGTGATTCTCCTGCCTCAGCTTCCCGAGTAGCTGGGATTACAGGCATGTGCCACCACTCCTGGCTAATCTTTTGTATTTTTAGTAGAGACGGGGTTTCTCCATGTTGGTCAGGCTGGTCTTGAACTCCTGACCTTAGGTAATCCAACTGACTTGGCCTCCCAAAGTGCTGGGATTACAGGCGTGAGCCACCGCGCCCGGCCACAATAATAACTAACTCTTATTGGGCACTCATTATGTTCTAGGCATCTTCTAAATGCTTTACATGTATTAATTTATTTAATCTGCACAAAAATCCTATGATGTGAGTGGGTAGCACTCTTTTTTAGAAAACTCAGGCGCAGAGTGTTTTAATATTGAAGGGGAGGAAAAATAACTTTTTCTTCTGCCCTTCATGGTTCTTAGACAGTATGAACCTCTGTAACACAGGACAGATAACAAGAGAAAAACAGGCCGGGCACAGTGGCTCACGTTTGTAATCCCAGTACTTTGGGAGGCCTAGGTGGGAGGATTGCTTGAGCTCAGAAGTTTGAGACCAGCCTTGGCAACATGGCTGAGACACTGTCTCTACCAAGAATACAAAATAAAATTAATTGGGCAGTGGCAGGTGCCTGTAGTCTTAGCTACTTGGGAGGCTGAGGTAATAGGATCACCCGAGCCCAGGAGGTTGAGGCTGCAGTGAGCTGAGATTGTGTCACCACACTCCAGGCTGGGCAACAGAGCAAGATCCTATATCGAAACAAAACAAAACTCCAGAAGTTTAACAACAGGTATTCCTCTTATGTATCCATAGGAGATAAACAGAGAAAGGAGTAAACCTCAAAGAGGTGGCTTTGAATTCAGGATTCAATACCATCGTTTGCCAGACAGAGAAAGAAGGATGTGGGGAAGGCTGATAATGAGGGAGCTGCCAGGAAAAGCAGAGTAAACAAGAGTGAGGTTTGCTGCACAGATTTATTTATTT